AATATTATTATTTCTGCCTGGGATGGGGCGTAGAGAAAGGTGTTGTAAAAATCCTGCCTACCCACCTGTGTAGAAGTTGTTGCTTGACATATCTGATTTATACTTTCACATATTACAGACTAGAATAAATATTCAGAGTGACCATTTTAGGGCATTAAAACCTAAGGATCTGTGAAATTATTGCTTTGATTCAGCAGTGTAAGAACAATTGAGATGGGGAATGAGTTCTGTCCTTTGGACTAGGACATCCTGACTGGATGTCTAGAGAAGCTTGCTTAGCTACAGCTAGCTTGTAGGTATAGAGCTAGCTCGTAAGTATACAGAGAATCCAGAATGTAAGACAGAAAACTGAGCTCCTTTCAACAGCTTTTAATTCATGTGAAATAAAATGACATTGAATAGAAAAGCCTGGACCTTGTTGGCAAATGCTGGGAATGGGACAAAAGCAATGAGAACAATGTGGACAAAACTACTGAGCTGAACACTCCAATGCCTTGGAGCCAGAATGGTTTTCCTTGTGTAATGTGCATTACAGTAAAGCTTCCAAAAATGCAATTGCTAATTGGTTTAACCCAAAGGTTAATTGGTGTGAAATAAACAAATCCTCATAGCATCATATCTGGCTTCTGCTCTGCCATCAAGTTCTGTATGTCTTATCAGCTTCTCCTCTTAAACCATTTCTGACTTCATCATTTTGTTTTTGTTTGTGCTTTTACCTTTCATATTCAGCCAGCTGTCTGTACAACTCACCATTAATAACTATCTCTGATTAGGGCAACACCTATTTACAAGGGTGGTACTCCTCATCCACAGCCATCATCTGAACTAAGCAAACAAGACCCTGGAGAACCAAGCAAATGCTTTAGTTTTTAGATCATTAGACTATTCCCCTCTAGTACTATTCAGCATAGATACAATCTGCTCACTTAAAAGACAGAGCTGGAAACTGAAAAGCAGCTTGGCTAATAACATCCAGTACTTGAACCTGCTTTGGCAGAGGGATAGACAAAATTACTTAATGGGGCTTTTCCATCTCTAGATTCTGAATTCCCCATTGCTTTCAAGAAATGGTGAGTCAATAAGCTAGCAAATACTTCTGTTTGTCTGTTTCTTCCTTTATTTGCTCTGTATCTCTTGTTTACTCTGGGAGGAAAAGAAAACTTCAAATCATGTGATGCAAATAGGGAAACACAGAGAGATCAAAGCCAAATTAGGTTAAAAAAAAAATCTTATAAAACATTTCAGAATATAGTGTCTTCTGAGCTGCTCTTCAGTTTGCCTGGGGATTATGGCTGAAAAATTATTACTTCTTCCTGCAGAAGTCATAAAGGTCAGAAACAGTTGTTTTCAAACATACAGAATGCCCACCATACCAAGACAGCAAATTGGCTTTCAGACCTTAAAGATAGCATCCTGCCACTAGGACACTGGACATGCAAGAGGATTGAATGATTTTTATTAGGGTAGGAAAGTGAAGGATTAGCAGTTGGAGTTAGAATTAGTCAAAGCCCTGGGACAGTTTGTGTACAGAGATACACATGACCTTGCCAACACATGAGAAGCTTTCTTGAGGTGTTTGAAGCCTGATGCATTCCTACACAGAGGTTACCAATTGGTTTCATTTCTCTGATGAACACAAACCCACTAGGAGCTAAGGAGAAAGTAACTGAGTTATTTTCACCTTTTGACCTGAGGTAGAAGTTCAGCTCGAGTTTCTAGCATTGAATCAGTCTCCATGCAGCCATCTTCTGTGTCATGCTTATAGTGATATTCAAAGAAGAAAAAAAAAAGGCACAAAAGCCCACACATCTCATAAAACACAACTTTCAGGTAATTAAATCCTCTGGTGAAACAGAGAAGGATAAACCAAGATTGAATATTGGGACAGAGGTTTCCACATGTCAGTACTGCAGGTATAAAAGAAAGAAACCAGACGAATGCATCCGTTTCTTATCTCCTCATTCATAGGGAGAGGCTCACACTCGTGAAGCAGTGAAAGAATGGAGTTATTGAAAAGGCTGAGCAAAACTGTGAATGTGGACATCTGCAGCAGACAAGGGAACACATAGCAGAAAGCACCAAGCTGCTCCTGTCAAGCTGGCACATCAGCATGACACAAAGCCTTTCTGTGATACTAGACCAGGTCCAGAAGTACAGCTCAGCAGCCCTACCTCTCCTGCTCGTTCCATGGCGCAGTGAAAATAAACCCATTGTACCTCTGAGGCTAAAATGCTGAGCCATTATTTTTCTTTCATAGTGCCTGTTTCCAAGCTGGCTATGCTTCTGTGCCAGGGATAATGTGGGTAACATTCACTGTGAAAAACTGGCAACAGCTGGTTTTCTAGGAGGTTTCTCTGTTCATTGGCAAAAAGAAAATATCTCCTTCACACCACCACACATGCCTACCAGAGGAACAAAGAACAGAGCAGTGCCTTCTCCAAACAGGTCAGCCCTTTAAAGGGCCTGCAAGTCCCAGGAAGCACCAAAAGCTCTTCCTTAAACACCACATACATACTAGATTACAAGATTGCAAGATACATCCATGTTTGGAGGTGCAGTCCTCCCACCGAGATACCTGTACCTGTAACCACTTTTGAGAACCCATCCCAGAAGGAAACAGCTTCTGGGCTACACATCCGTCAAAAGCAGTGAACAACATGGTTTGACCTTGCCAGGGAGCACCAACAATATCACTAACTGGCTGAAAAAAAAAAAAAAAAAAAAAAAAAAAAAAAAGCTGTAAAACTTGAATAGAAAATAATATTCCTATCCCTCCACCTTATCACTTTCACACCTGTCTCTGACCTTGGTATCATCTGCTCAAAGCCAGTCAGGAGAGCTCTGGTTTTGTTCTACTTCTCAGAGTAGAGACTGAGGAGGGAGGGAACTGCTCTGCACCTCAGCCTGTTTTGAAAGACTAAACAGTAGGCAATAATAGGCTGTTTGGTTTCCCACCTCCCTTTGTACAAGTAAATGATATCTAAATGGCTCCTGAGAGGAGATACAGACTTCGGTTAAGTTAAGGACTTAACAGAAAATAAGCAAGCAAGCTCCCCTATCCCTTTCCCATCCCTATGTGTGCCTCTAAATGTAAATTTTCAGGAATTATCCTTTTAAGAGATAAAGGGGAGAGAAGGAACAGAGAATATGATTGTTCCTTGCAGCCAATTTGAGAGGGGAGCCGAGCTGGTCTCGGCATAATGCCAATTTGCTAGCTCAAATTTCACCTGTAAAAGCCCTGTAGACATTAAAAAAGCATTAATTATCCACCCAGACACAAAAAACTCATTATGCTCTATTTTTCCAATCCTGCTAACTATGCATGAACTGTTCGTGCTGAAGGACAGTATTACCTGCTTCCTTCAGATTACTTGCTGATCACAGCAGCTCAAAGGGTTTTGTTTTTAGTGAAATGGCATCGTGGTTCCTCTTTAAAGAGTTCAGCTACAAGCATGAGTCCAAGGCCTGATCATCTCTTCCACTTCTTGGGATATTCACACCCAACAGTCAAATGACTTGTTTCTGGGTGAGACACTTTCTGCCATTTCTGTGTATAACAAGCTTGGTGTTGACACTTTCAGAGTACTATATTTCTTCTGCACTGTCCTTTGGCATTCTTTTTGTGAATTTGCATTCTATATGTTATAGATCTATCTTGGATTTAATGATGAATGCAGACATTAGTATTACAAATGTTAGCTGAACCCTGTAAGTAGATATATTTAATTTCTACATAGCACTTCGGCTCAAGGAGGAAAAGTGTTGTAGCTGCCATTAGCCATGACTTCACAGCTGCTAGCACAACAATAACCTCTAATCACCACACTTGGTCCTTTTTCCTAAGCAAAGACAAGTATTGTATACAGAGGTCAGATACTAAGATAAGCTTTGGTAGTGAATTAGCAGGATGCATTGCGCAGACACTGTGCTGGCTCCCTGCCAGTTATGTAAAGTCTGAAACCAGGATCCTTGTGTTCTGAAGACAGCAAGTCCATCAGATTACCCAAGGGAGTGTGTATGCAATGTATCTGTGTACACACAGCGTGGCTGCCACCTGGCTTTGTTTTGGTTAGATGACTAGTATGACATTTCCATTCAAGTTACACTATTGCAAAATGTCACCATTGTTCTGCGGCTGCTATGCAAAATGCTTACTACACTAACAGGAGAGGAGGAAGTTTGTGGTGTATGACAATGAATGTTTTCTGAGGCTGATTTCCCAAAGTCAATGTATGTCCTTATCTTGTGAGCAGCCAAATGCCTCCTTCTGCTCAGGCATATAAGCAAAAAACACTGCCTGTTATGGTGCCAGAACCAAGTATTTTCAGGAACGCTCACTCTAAAGAAAATTGCAGTTTTCCCTGAAGACTGAAAGGTAATTTGGGGCCCCCATGTTTTCTAAGGAAGGTGACTTCAGCTTGCATGCACTGTTCTGTAGCTCCCCTATTTCACAATACCAGGCACTGGCAGTGATGTTTAACAAAACAACTACATGAAGCACAGGTTCCCACAGATTGAAAGCACATTCTAGTATAAGAATAGAGGGCTAAGACAGGCTTTTCTTACTGTGACTAAAGGAGGATAGATTTAGACTAGACATAAGTAGGAAATTCTTCACTCAGAGGGTGGTGAGGCACTGGAAGAGGTTGCCCAGAGAAGTTGTGGATGCCCCATCCCTGGAAGTGTTCAAGGCCAGGCTGGATGGGGCCTTGGTTAACCTGATCTAGTAGGTGGCATCCCTGCCTATGGCAGGGGGGGTTGGAATTCGATTATCTTTAAGGTGCCTTCCAACCTGAGACATTCTATGATTCTATGATTGTTTGGAAGAGACAAGGGTGGTAGAGGGACATCATCAGAGGGATAAGGTCAGAGTGACACAGTTTTGGTAGATGAATTATCTCTTATTTGAAATCCTAGGTCCCAAACTGGACCTTGTTAATGATATGGGTGGTGTTATTCCAACAGATATCATTCCACAAAACACATGCACTTCCAGAAACTATGCAACAGTAGCCTCTCAAATAGCTTTAGTCTCAGTATGTGAGTCTCCATGGCAAGGCGTAGGGCCTATGTCTTAAGCAATAATTTTGGTCAGATAATTGCAATGTTCCCTTTCTTCCAGACTGGTCACATACAGGTATTGCATAAAACTTCAGCCAGAGGCATCATCCATTCCAAGGAGGATCCTTTGAACAGAGTCTGCTCCTGCTAGTAGGCTTTACATGAGCTCCTATGAACCTGATGGCTGGAAGACCAGCTGGCTCCATCTGGTGTAGATGGTCCCAGAGCCAGAGAGAAGCTGTGGTGCAGTGCTAACTGCATTGCAAGCCCTGTGATGATGGACAGTGAGCCAGGAGCTAGGTAAGTGAATCTTCAACCAGAAACTGTGAAGCTTGGCAGGTCAGGGATGCACACTGCAAAACTGTTGCAAAACTGGCCTGAGGGGACAGTGGGGTGTATGAAGGATCTTGTATTCTTTGTGCTTGCTAAGACAACTGAGAAACCACTGGCCCCAAACTGTGTTATGTTTATGGTTATTGAAAATGATAGATAAGCTGTATTTAGAAGTAAAGACAAAAATGCAATAAACTGAATGTGAAGATCTGATTGCTCTCCCTTAGAGGTCAGTGCTTCTCCTATTTGGTGGCTGGATTCTTGTTAAAGCAATAACATGGTAAATCTTTGCATGTACATGGACCATGTGTGACGATTAAACCAAATGCTCTTCAATCCCGTATTTATTTCTCAAAAAAGCAAGAACGAAAATAGCAAGAAAAATCTTGAATGGTGAGAGGGGTTTGGAACAGGATCCCCTGCAGACATTTCCAGAAGTTCTTTCCCTCCTATAGCAATCTTCTCCCACAGTTGGCCTTTATCTGTTTTTCCTCTTGATCCTTAGCATATTTTTTTTTTCACAGAAGTTCCCATGCTGTATGCTTTCAATACTTTAAGTGCAGGAGAAGATAATTCCTATTTTTAGTTCCAACATATAAAATGTTATCTAGGGACAACTCATTTTTTCCTAAGTGATGAAGCAGGAAAAGGATATGGCAACAAATACTACCTTAGAAAGGATACTCATGTGGTTAAGGCATTAGCCTGTTAATTCTGGAGATTTGTGTTCCTTTTCTGGCTCTCATACAGACTCCATAGGCCCCTCATGGGTTAATCTCTGTTCCTCACTTCTCTTCCTATAATATGGGGATAAGGTTAACCTATCTAACAGCTTGGTGCAACAAGGATAAATTAATTACTGTGTGACAGATTTTCAAACACATCAGTGATTACTGCCATAACAGAGTCTTCTGTGTAAACAAATACCCTTGGGAAAACAAGAGATGGGATTTAAGTTTGCTTTTGAGGTAAGTTCTTATACCAGCACTCCCACCATGGGAACACCCATATCAAAGGAAAGAATACGACAAATGTACAGTGTCATGCTTTAAAGATCTTGAAAATCAGCCAAATCTTTAAAATGTTAAGAAGACTTAATGTAATACTTATACATCCTGGGGCTAATTCTCAGGAATGCTGAGTACCCTCTGCTCCCCACTGACTTTGATTTGTGGGCACTCAGCAAATTCAGTTGTAAAATAATCATTTGGTGAAAAAAAGGCATTTGAATGAAGCCTGATCCCTCAGTCTGCATATTTTTATGAATGCAAACATGCCTATGATAAGAAGTTCCACCAAGCCTGACATCTGTACCCTCTACATGAGAGGTTTGTAACTTGTGGGTTTGCAGCTGAAAATGCCAACTGACAGGCATTACCTATTTTCTCCCTATCTGATTGTTCCCCCCAAACCATGAAAAAGTCCTTATGTACCTCCAAGAAGACAGCCAAAAAGGAAAAACAGGTGAGGATTTTTCCACTAACTTTCTGAGTCTCTGGAATGGTTTTGGGACTCACCATCTCTTTCATATGTACCCTTGAGTCCCAAGAACTGCAGCAGCACCTGAGCACACTCCAAAAGCCACTGGCAGACAGGCATCCTGTTTTCTTGCACCAGCTTTCCTCCAAAAGGTACTGGGTGCTGGGCAGAACTCAGTGCCATTATTTCCCAGCTGGTCAAAAGCACTCTGACAGCTTTGAATGGTGGAGGTGTTTGGTCCTTTCTTGGAAAAGCAGCCGGTTTGTTTCTACTTGAAAATGGAGCTTAATTCCTCTCTGGCCTGAGACAGCTTTTAAACTCAATTAACAATAACACCTGGGTTTTGGGGATGTGATTGAACCAACACTTCCCTGTCTGAAAACACTTAGCCTTTGAGGAAGTTAGCATCCAGACCTGCACTCAGTGTATAACCATAGTTAAATGCTTCCTTTGAGAGCCTGTGGAAGTAGGTTTTTATAGGTGCAGAAGAGGTACCAAGGTGCGATGGTGTGAACTGCTAACCAGGGAAGCAGTGTATGACTGGACTTGGCCACACAGAGGCTAGTGGGCGCGCAAGCCAGAGTGACAACACAGCGGGGTGCGATGTGTCACCACTCCCCTCACCAGCGAAGCGTCCAGCCAAGCCCAGGAAGATCAAAACCTGAAAAACAAATCAAAGCAAATTCCAGCCTGAAATGCACACAAAGCTCATGCCCAGTATGTGAGCCCCCATCCTTCATCCACGCATCATGGAACATTTGCTCGTAGCAGCACGCTCTGAGAAAGCAGCGAACTTGAAGGGAAATACCTGAGGGGCAGTCAACACTGCACTCCCTGTTTGCCAACCGGGGCGCGCTCCTTCAGACTTGGCCCCGTCGCCGCTCCTCACTGGTGACCAGCTCGCCTCAGACCCACCTCAGAGCTCCCTGTTTTCTTTGGCGGGGCCTGCGACCCCGGGCAACCCAGCCCGGTGTTTGAGCCTTGCCCAATGTGTTGCAGAACAGAGAACACATGTTTTTTTGTTTCAAAGATATTGCTTAAAATAACTCAATTTCTAGAAGGTTGAAGTTGGACCCCTCCCCCCTCTCCTTTTACCCTTGCCCTCCCCTCTTTACATGGCTGTGGCTCCCATGAGGATCCAAAGACAGATGTGCCATGAGGATCTAGTTATCATTCCTCCTTCCCATTCCCCTGTCAAAAAAAAAAAAAAAAAAAAGAAAAGAAAAAGAAAAAGTGTATAAAAGTGTATATATATATATCTATCTTTCTCTGGGCTGCTGGACAACAGCAAGCGCCTGTGAGAAGAAGGGGGGAAGGAGAGCATTGGCTGAAAAACATCCCCTGCCTCCTTTCCCCCCTCCCTGTCATCCTGTTCTCTCTTCAAACACGTTTTTAAACATACCATTTTTGGTCTGGTTTCCTGGATGGCACATCTTCATGTCTAGCTGGGCTCCATCCATTACCTCATGAGACAGGGTAGGACTGAGGTGACAAGATTGATGGAACATTTTGAGCAGGGCTATGGGTGAGGAAACCCTCCCAGGACAACAGTGGAATTGGGGCAAGGGGGCACTTTTATATTTTAAAGTCACTGAGCAAATCTGTTGCAAGAGGGAAAAGATAATTTATATTCTAGAGAGACAATTTGGCATTTCCTCTTGTTTGTCCCACTAAAATGATGAACTGACTCATTTCATTTTATTTATTTTATTTATTTTAAATTCATTACCCGATTTTTTTTTATTTTTTTTTTTTTTTTTTTTTGTGGTTTGGAGGGGGTGAGTTAAAATGCCTGCCTTACCTACAGTTCAGAAGTAACCAAGTTACTTCCACTTCTGGAGGGTCCTATATTTTATTCCAAATTGGCACAAGATCTGTTCAGTTATTCTTAGCCTTGCAGACACCTTTTTGCTTTTGTTACATTAATGCATGGATGTGAAGAGGGAAAGGACTCAGTTCTGGATCCTGTTCCACTGAGCTGCTAATTCACATTAAGAAAGGTCAAATCTAATAGAGCACTGCCTTATGTTGAGGCCAAAAGGAAAAGGAATTCATTTGAAAACTCACTTTCCAGGTGTATTAACCCCTTCAAGTGCCATTAGGCTGCATATGTGTCACAGCATCAGCTCTTTTAAGGAGGAGCCCAGATAAACTGGCTTTCAACTCCAGTGCTCCAAAGCTCAGATCACAGCTCTGTTACAGTTTCTACTGCTGCAAAATCTGTCCTTGTATCAGGCTGTTGGCAGCAAGGGGCAAAGACACAGACATGCCTGTCTACTTGGGTGTGTGGTTTGTAGTGGTTTGTATACTTGTGTAAATTTACAAGAAAGACAGCGAAAATACAGCACTAAGTCATCAAAACTTTTTTTTTTTTTTTTTTTTTTTTTTTAAGGTAAAGGGGAGGAAATTTGTTCATTTGTTCCTTTGGAAAAGATGGAAGGGTGAGGAGCTACGATGCAAAGGGAAGTCATCTTTGCTAATTGTATTGCAGTGCAATGTACACTAAAGAACCTGAGTAGACTAGAGGTACTGGTTTCTAAGGGTGTCTGCCTGCAGCCCAAAATATGTGGTTGCCAAATACAAAGAAGAAAAGGAGAGGAAGACTAACTGGCCGCTTAGAAAGAGCTTAGGAAGTTGGAAGCAAAGTTTAGCATTTGCTAACTGATAGACAGAGTCACATCTGTTTATCTTGAGCACAGGTGAGAGGTATAGGGAGTGGAAGAAAATTTGCTTTGGTTAAAACAGAGAAATAGAGATCATGGTCAGAGATTGGCCACATCATACATGTAAAACTTGAAGCTCATTTGAACACTTCAGGAAAACAAATCTCTGGGCTCAGCCTCAAGGGATAGAGCAAGTAATTTACTTTTCAATCTGTCTCCATTCAGACCATGTTAAGAAACCCTTTCCTATGAGAAGTTTAAGATGTGATGAACAAAAGAAAGTGAAAAGCCCACTCACTATCAGGCAGTGTAGTGCGTGTGAATGTGCAGCTAACATTGGCTTGTCATGTCCAAATTGTTAAATTACAGAAAGTCTGCAAAAGAAAATGAAAACAAAGCAAGAGAGATATCCTGTCTCTGTATGTCCTATTCTTCCAGAATGTTTACTTCTGAATGTCTACTTTATCTACGGAGAAACAATTTCATTAGGTTCAAAATAATGCATTTTCAAATCTTCCATTTTGAAGAAGAGCTACCTTAGTAATGGATTTTTACTCTAAACACGAAGAGTTTAATTTATGTTACCATTGAGACTATGTGTGATATAGGTCAAGGTTTTAGTACATATTTCTACAGATATGCAAACATAACAGTTTTTGTAACTTTTACTGAAAGCTGCATATGATCACTTCTAAAGCTTCTCTGGGCAGTGGGTATCTCAAAACACAGAACTAGCACTAACTTAGATGCAGTACAGTGGAAAAGATTTGCCTTTCCTCATGAGCAAGGCAAGGGCAAGAGAGAAACTACTCTGAACAGGTGATG